TATATATATGCGCCACACAGATCTCATTTGATATGTGTGAGGGCTGTGATACTGCCCGAGTGCCCAAACCGAAGCAGGTGGTTTCCTTAGGGGGCCACACTCCTAGCATTCGACCTAAAGGTCTGATCCACAAAGCAGTGTACCATCTTAAGGAAATGCAGTCCCATGGTAGCCGGTGAACAACGATTGGTTCATACGCCATTCGTTCCTTCAGGATACTGCAGCCCATGTGCACCATTGATATATAGAGAAAATAAAAGATCAACTAGACTGGAAATGGGGTAAGTCAGTCAGCTGCAACGTAAGACCAGGCACATATATGCATCGGTTCAAGTTGCCATACCGCATTAGCACAACAAGATGAACACCGAATTCATAGAAGTAGTTATTTCAGTGGTAGTAATATATAAAAGAAAGATTGCATATAAGAATATGGTACAGGAAGAAAGAATAAGTTCGTAAAAAGAAAGATATGAAGCGATTTTAATCTCTTAGTTTAAAGGAAGACAAATAGTGTATACACCTACGCCACTGTGATAGGTTCTGAGCCATGTCACAAAGAGTCTCCAACCAACGGATACGATAGTCACTTGGACCCCAACCAAGTAGTCTGCATCTACCAACATGGCTCAGACCAGAAGTAAGTGACTTCAAGCACTGATGCCACGTTTTCGTAGGAGATCACTGCCGGAGATTTCAGTTGATGAGAGCGTTATTTCCATCAGTAGATCTATGATGAAGTTAAACAAAAATGGAGAAAGTGGACAGCCTTGACGGACACCACTTGAGGTTGCAAAACCAGATGACAGTTCGCCATAAGCTCTGACTCGACTAGTAGTGTTCGAGTAAAGAGCCTTCACAAGGTTTATGTACTTCTGAGGTACGCCTTTCAATGACAGACACTGCCACAGAACCTCTCGATCCACAGAGTCAAATGTTGCTTTTAAGTCAAGGAAGACCACCATTGTCGGACGCCGATAAGTATGCCTGTGTTCTAGAACCTGACGAATGGTGAATATGTGGTCTATGCAGCCACGAACAGGTCTGAAGCCAGCTTGATTCTCTCGTGTGTGCAGTTCACGAGGCTTAGTTAGGCGTCCGATAATTACCGAGGCTAGTATTTTAGATACTATATTAGTTGAACTAATCTCTATATGGTTGTCACAGGATGATTTTGACCCTTTCCTAAATATTAGGACGATAAGTGATTGTGACCAGTTAGATGGGATAACGTCTAACTCCCAGATTTTAGCTAAAATATTAGTCAACCTAGTCGCTAAAACTAGACCACCATCCTTAAAGACCTCTGTAACCAATCCATCTGGACCAGCTGCCCTTCCTCGTTTCAGATTAGCTATAGCCTTTTGCACTTTAGCTAGAGTTGGAGGACCTACTTCAATGTTCCATTCATACTGTCTGGGAATGGTGGGTAGTTGTAGAGTAGCTGAAGGCCAGCTGAACTGCTCCTTAAAGTGTTCCGCCCATCGTTCTAAACGTCTGGACTGGAAGCAGATGAGAGTGTCGTCTTTTTCCGAAATAGTCTCACTTACACCTGACTTTTTAGTTCCAGTTTCTTTTATGAGTCTGAAGAGCTGTCTGGTGTTACCTATAGCCGCCGCCTTTTCCATCTCTTTTGCTTTCGTTGCCCACCACTGCTCACGATTATTCCTTAGACTTTTGGTTAACCTAGATCTGATCTCTTTACGCTCATCATCGTGTTCAGAGCCTGATGGGATGAATTTACGCGAATCCATCAGTGCAATAGACCTTGAAGAAATCCATCGGTTCTTTGTAACCCTTTGGTTTAAATCACTAATAGATGTCACTGCGATTTCCACAGCTGATTGCATATCTTTTCAAGCAACATCTGGGTCAGCCTCGTTTTCAGAACTACCTAAGAGTGACCTCAGTTGCTCTTGGAACATACTTTTGGTTTTCTCGTTACTCAGTTCAGTTCTAATGGGTCTTTTTAGTGTGGCTCTTTTGCGTCCAGTGAGGCACAAGCAGATGCGTGCTCGGAGTCCAAACAGGTATTCCAGAATGGGCGACAATCGTCTATCGACCCTCTCCAACGATGACTGATGGCAACATGGTCTATTTGAGTCCATCGTTGATTTGTTGCAGGGGGTCGCCATGTTAGACGGTGTCTCTCTCCTCATGCTTAAAATTTGCGTTTGCTAAAAATAAACGGTTGTCTGGGCACAGTTGCAGCAGACGATCACCATCATCTGATCGCTGAGCCGGAATACAAAAATACCCACCTAAATGTCATTCTGTTTCGTTTAAGCTACCTACCTGGGCATTAAAGTCACCTGCCATGAGTACTATCTCTGAACGTTTAGCTTTCTGTAAAATTCATCTTTCACTTCATCCGAACTGCAGTCAGTGGGAGCGTAGGCAGAAACGACGAAAAGGCAACGACGTGTGTCCCTATCCTTTCGAGTTCTTACGGAGCCGTTTAGCCGAACAGAGCATAGACGACTGTTAACGGGGATCCACTCTAATAGCGCTCGTTCCGCCCTCATGCTTAGTGCTATGCCTACACCTGCCAGTCCACGAGAACTAGCCATCGAGTCGCCAGATACACGGAGGGTGTATAACGTCGGCTCTCCGTTTTGCCCAGGTGAGTTCAAGTGAATGACCATGCTAGGATCTTGTATGCGTGTTTCAGAGACACAGCATACATCAATGGTACGAGATTCTAAGGTTTTAGCCAAGGAAGCCTGCTGACCGATTTGGCATAGTGTGCGCACGTTGAAGGCTCCAATGTGTAGTTTGGAGCGACGTTTCAGTAGACCTGGGACAGTGTTTTGCGCACTAGAATCGTTGGCTGTGGTGACACTTGAGGAGGAAGCCAAAAGAGGAAGTTTAGTGTAGAAATTCGATGTAGGAGGAATAATAGGAATTGAGGGAGGGAGGTTGATTATGAATACACTGGTCTTGAGTGCTGTTGGAAGTATGAGGGCGGTTATCACTTCCCGGTTGCCCACACAGTGGAAGGGTTCTGCTGGAGGTACCTGAAAAGGAAATTGGACTAGAGGTAGTCATAGTGACCTGAGAGTGACCGCAGTGCCCAAGGGACAACTGCTTGTGGTCGATCACACACGACCCTTTTATGAGTAGTTTTTGTGTTAGCTCCGTACTTGTTGAGACCTTACCGCCCGAGACGGATATCCGTGGGATAAGGCGAGGTGTGCATTTTTAGGGTCGACCTTTTCTAGTCCCATCCCTCCTTGTGGAAAGGCAGCATCGTTGTTATGCTGGTTGTCGAAAGGAAACATTTTACTTCTGTCACACCTCTGTACAGTCAACAGTACGACTTCGCCTTTGAACCTTGGTTTTAGTCTTACCGCTGTTCAACCGACCTGTCTAGCATGGTAGGACCTTGAGGAACGGTTGTTCCAGCCAGTATGGCTCAGTTGCTTCATCACGATAGGCAAGCCTGACCACCACGTCAAGGTAGTAACAACGTTCGGGAAATGGTTAAGAGGAGACAAGGATGATAATAATAAGAGTAAAGATAATATTGTGAACACAATTTGGAAGAACAAGGTGCATACTTCATCCAAAAGCTAAAAGACATTTAAACGATTGTGTCACATCCCACTGTATTTACTAATTTAGGTAGGAGCAATCGTGATCTCAAAATTAAGGTGTGAACATATACCAAAAATGGTTGCAGAAACAAATCCATCATCCTCTATTGCTAAACATATAATCAAAACAGGACATAAGATTTATCTTAACTCGGCTTTTGTGGTGTTGTATAAAAGTGTAAAAGTGCGTATACAAAGTCATTATATGTGAAAATTATATTTGAAATAATCTCAGCGATTGAAATTTAAATAATTCCAACGTTTCGTTTAGCTAACTTGTCTGGACTTCTTCAGGGTAATAATCAAAATCAAAATCATTAAATAAATATATAGCTTTTTAGCAATCAAAACTATACTGTGTATTCTAAGGTTTATTGAAGCCTTAGCTATAAGAACATTCAAACCCTCTTTGTGTATTCAAAAACAGTTTGCTCTCACCTTAAATCTACCCTAGTAATATTGGTTTATTAGCCAGAGTGATTGGGTTTTAAACTGTGTTCACAATATTATTATTAGTCTTATTATTATCATTCTCTCCTCTTACCCCATTTCCAGTCTAGTTGACCTTTTATTTTTTATATGTATAAATGTTCTAAACAAGTGTATTCTGTGTGTGATCAGATTGTTCGAAATGTATTGCACTAATATACATCATCACATAGTTCTGATAATCTTCATCTTCTTATTACACTATTAAAATTTATCAAAGGGATTAACTGCTTTAAAATAATTATAAGTTGATAAGATTAATAAATATATAGAAAACAAAACAGAAAAAATAAACATGTTTTCCACAAATTCACTTGTCTTGTCTCGACTCATAGAGTATTATTAACAATTTTTTTACTGACAATACAATGCTTCCAGGTTTTCCACAATGGTCTAGCTTTAACTAATAGAATAGAGAATTGTTTTTCATTGTATTTAAAATAATAAGTAGATGATATTGATGTTGAATGAATAAAAGAAAAAAAATGTGATATGTTGACTACTGATATCGGACTATAAAGTAATAAATAATAATAATATTAATAATAATAATAATAATAATAATAATAATAATAATAATAATAATAAACTAGCTAGGAAGGAAAGATAATGAATAATGGTTGCATAAAATGATACAATGATTGGTAGAAATCATTGAAAGTATACAGACATATGAAAGAAGATATATTTATACATAAATATATAAACACTTATGTCTGTATAGTATGTGTGTGCATGTATAATGTTTAAATGTAGACACATATACAGGAGTAAAAATGATATTACTGAATAACTTAGATTGGATAATTGATATAATGAGGCAGTGAATGAGAATGAACACATGCACAATCAGACAATTTATTTAATAATGTCTATACACATTTTATAAATAAATAAATATATATACATACATACTTGTATGGTGAATGACCTAGTAATGAGAAATTGATTGATTAAAAGAGGATTTGATTAGTTTTTTTAATTGTAAACGAGAATATTATTAGTAGTACTATGACTATTATTAGTACTACTAATATTCTCATATATATTAGATGATTACAGTTAGATAAAGTTGATTTAGTAAATATGATATTTTGAACAAAGTTACAAAACTCCAATATATTAGTGAAATTTTTTCGAAAAAAAAGATTCCATTAGTAATGAAAGATTCAAATCACGTAGAAAGTATAATAGGTATTGAGTCGGTGTAGGTAAAAAAAAAAGAAAATCAAAATGATACGAATTCTTTAACTTTAAGATGTAATGTGATTACTATATGTGAATAATAGTGGCTCTGTTTCATTATATCTTACAATATTCTATTAGAAGTTTTCATAACCGTGCTGATTCAAAAAATGACTATCTCTTCCGATCAATTAAAGTTGCTATTTGAATGACAATAGCAGTGTTTGAAAAAAAAAGCTAGTTGAATGTTTTAGACAATTTACGCACACAGATGCTAAATCATCCATGTTTTGGAGATGTGACAGTTGATAAATTAATTTCTAATTTGTCTACAGAGTTGGAAAATGATTGCAGAACGCATGAACATGTCGATGAAACTTTCCGTGAATCCTTGATAAGCGGTGATGTAAAATGAAGTAATAGCAGTCATCTATGATCCGCCCAGTGGTCCAGGAATGTCCATTACAGAGACATACCCTGTCGTGGGTTCATATCCCATTGCCCCCGAAACCCCATGTACAAACACTGACTTGTCCAGCTCACAGAAACACGATGTCTTATTAAATGCTTATAAAATTATTGCACTAGCCGCCCACGAACAAACAGGAAATGAATCAAGCAGCATACTGAAGACAGTTGCATTAAATGAAGCTCATCATTCTACAACAAAATTTCCCGATGAATCTACTTATCGGGGTTCTCTAGTTGTCTCACCAGATATGAGTTATATTAATGACTCACATGTTTTTGATTAAATTTCTTACAAAAATGAGGAAAATTTGTCGGATGCATCAAACGATGATCAAGAACCTAATAAAATTTTGATAGATGCTGATTATTCAAGTGATCGATTATCTACTGATGAGATTTTTAAGAGATTTGATGAAAATGTTTCACAAGAATCAAACCTTAATGACATCATATCTAGTGTCGTTGATCCTTACCATCTAATCAGTTCTAGTGGACTCTCTACTCAATGCGGGAAATACGTTTTAAATAGTCACACTAACTGTAACTTGGGAATATGATGACCCAACATTATTTCGTGGGGAAGGATAAAGTCAGAAAATTCAGAGTCAGGATCTAAACCTTGAGTCTTCAAAAAAAAGAAGGGAAGATGATATGACGAGAAGAAAAGTCAAAATTCAATTGAGAAGTTATAATAATCCAAATAATATTGGGTTGTTATTTTCAACCGATAAGAAATAAATGAGCGAACAGTTTTGTTCTAAATATGGTTTAAACATTAGAACAACAGGACATGTAAGCGAACAATATTGTCATCAGGCTTCACTTTCATATACATGAATATTTATACGAATTATGTTAAACCAATTAAGGAAATTTGAGTCAATAATCACAATGAAATAGAATACATCACCGTATATAATAGGTAAAAGTACAAGTTGATAGTAGGGAGACAGGTATAAACATTAACATTTACGTGTCAAACACCTTATAATGTGATTGAGAAACCTCTGTAATTATACTAATTATAACTTCTAAAGATGAAGTTTTATCCGTGAAAAAAATGGAATCCTACAGAGCTAGTGAATGAATTTAAGTATTTCTTACAGAATCAGCTAATGTTATATAATAATTGGTATATTGGGAATTTCCCATCTAATAAATATTTTATCAATTGTCATTGTGAATTATGGTATATATAATTTACTTATCAATAATATGACCAGTAAACAAGAAAAAGAGGATACTTCAAATCTTAAAATTGATTTTAAATAAGAGATATGAACAGATAAACACTAACTAACACCTTTTTTCTCCAACTATACAGATAAAAATTTAATGGAGTAGATCAACTAGAGACAAAACATTTAAATAAAACAGTTTTTGTAATTTACGACGCATGTTGTCGAATCCGTTAGACGAAAAAATACATTGAAAATCAATCTATAGAATCCGATCAGTACTAAAGTAATCAACAAACATGACAGTGGTTATTACTCCGTGATCAGTTACTGTTGACAAAATAGAAAGAGATCCCAGTAGAAATGGAAATCAGTCTAAAATAAGTGAAAATAATTATATCATCCAATATATATAAAAGCCCGCTCAATAAATATGAGAACTGAGCCATTAATGGAATAATTACTTAGTACGAAAACGCCTACCACCTTTATTGCTAAAACGTCACGGTCAGACTAACATATTCATCTATTGAGAAATGATAGCAATAGTTATATATATATATATATATATATATATATATATATATATATATATATATATATATATATATATATATATATATATATATATATATATATATATATATATATATATATATATATATATATATGACCGCTACTCGTGATTACATATTCTGTTAAACATTTCATTACCATACATTTAGCAGTAACTGACTTTTTAATTGAATTGCAATTCTAGAACATCTTTCATAATTACTAGATCTAAGACCTTATGATTTCTTTGAGTTCTGTCGTATTTTGTATATTGTTTGTTATTGCTACGATGATTGTCGATTGCGAACAATCTAATTCGGGTGGGATTCATCAACAATAATCCAAAACGATGGAACCCAAAGAGAACGAATAAGTGCAGAAAAAGTCATGTTTATGTAGATAAATCAAAGTGAAATAGCTCTCTATACATAGTAACCAACATTACCTTGAGACAGAAAAACTAGCAAGCTAAAAGTGGTAATAATCAATTATGAAAGAGCAAAGGTTATGGGGAAATATGGATCAGAAGAAATGTATGGAGTTATCCTAACAGGAGAGAAAAATTAACATTTATTGACAAAAGCTGGATAAATTATGATCTCTAAATTATCAATGGTAATTTAACAGCATTGATAGAGTGATGAAATGAGAAACAACGTGATCACTGAAAATGCAGTCATGACAAATGTATTTTAGAAAACCGAAAGTACAACAATTTTATCCTCTTTAGTACACATGAGACATATCCATTGTTTGAAACACCTTTGAAATTCCTAGACTTTTAAGTACTTATCAAGCGAACTAGTACCAAATGGTAACTGTGGTTATTATAATAAACAAGCACACAAATTTTTAATCATATTATTATTAGTAGTAGTAGTAGTAACAGTAGTAAAAGTGTAGAGGTAGTAGACCAAAATATTACTTTAGACTCGTGATAGTATCATAAGATTTGCATTTACCTAACTGACAAATTTAATAAATTTAAATCATCAATTTACACTAGAAAAATAATGTTTAGGTGTTTATGTGTGTTACACATTCTACACATCGAAATATTAGACGTACCTAGATGTGGAGCGATATATATTATATATATATATATATATATATATATATATATATATATATATATATACTTACTTGTGTTAACGAACCGAAAGAATTTTAATAAATAAAGAAACCGATCTGCAAAAATGTGCTTTCTAAGTATTGCAGGGTATGATGAAAAATACAGGAAATCTTAATGTTTAAACTTAAAACATCATTCGTTTAACAGATATGACATGAATGAAAATGACAGCAAATTTCAAAGTACATATCATAGACCAGGAAAAAATGTATATATATAGATATATACATAGTTCAAGATACATTGGTAAAGTAGTTTGTTGAAAATCCCTATTAATACTGTCATTGAAGACTATTTATAGAAAAAGTTAGCATTGGTTGCCAAATAGTTAACTTGGAAAGAATTAGGAAGGATGGGAGTGAGATGTCCTTTTACGTCTAACGTCAATAAATCTCATGACATCAATCATTGCATGAAATTCCACCAAAGCCTAAACTTAGTCCTAATAATTCAAGTTGAAATAATGCTTGCTATTAGCCACAGAACATTTGGATGAATAACTAACTGAGAGGATAATTTCGCCATTGTTTTGGATTACACTCCATACTATGGATCGCAATCCAATGTTTTCATTTTTCACGAGGAGAACGATACCATTTGCATTATTGATCTGTAATCTAACAGTTGGTGTTTTTAAATTCAATCGTTTGCCCATTATAGCTCAGCTGTCAAATAAATACTGTTTACAAAAAAGGGATACGAAATCAAATACAAAAAATGAATCATTTTTCAATACTCTTTGTACTTTCATTTATTTTAATTTTAAGCAAGTATCAGTAGTAAGTGAGAAAAGTTGAAAAACGATTGGAAAAGTTAAGTTTAGGAAGAGGGTAAGAACTTCTTAGTTTATATATTTAGAATGAATACTGTTTTATATTTTCCCTCATAGCTCTCATGATAGATTATATTTTAGCTTTCTGGTTGCTGACATATATATGTTATGTCTTATGGCGCTGTCAAATATCACGTGACGAAAACGTTAATGACATTGTCCCCGTGCTAAGAAGGAATGATGTGTTACCAGCACAAGCAGCCTTGAGTCAACTCTGAGTCCATATTAAATACCTGTATAACAGCTTCTTGCCTAATCCAGTATGCTCAGTACAGAACACAAATATCGTTCTCCACTGCATGAATATCATTTCAGACACACGTGGTTTATATGCAAGAAAGACCATATTGCATCATACCATAAAATGCAGAATAATTATTATACAAGATCAAGCCGAAAGTGGTTGTGAGTATGGGAAACTGAAGCTAAAAAATTGGGAATAAATTAAGAATGGTAAATCGTATAATAGTAGCCAATATGTCAAATGAAAGCTTATGATAAAAAAAATGAATATATATATATATATATATATATATATATATATATATATATATATACATCAGGCACTCAATAAGAAC